TATGTAAGACAAACCTTAATAATTTAGCATTTCTCCCCAACAGGCAAGTCACACTGGTAATGGCTCCCTGGTTGTCAGGCATTCGGTCAATAAAGTTCAACTCCAGCCTCCTGCTCCCTCCCCTTACAGCAGAGGGCGGCTGCCCAGGCCGGCTGCAGAAGCCTACAGAATCCTGGTAGAAATGTTGTGATCTGCACGAGGCCCAGCTAGGAAACCCCGGGTCCTCTCTACTGTGATCTGCCAATTTAATTCTCGAGAGAGAGAGGAGATGGCATCACACAGGCAAACCCCTTCTCGGCATCCAGAACGTTGCCCCAACTCTTCCCTCTCTGGGCTTCCTTGCCTCCCTGAAACAGCTCCCATGGAGCCTGGCGTATGAGCCATTGAGATTTTAAGAAAACCTCACCTAAAATATCACCACGAAAGGGCAGCCGACAGCCACCAAATTTCGATTGTGTGCTAACCATCCGTCGCGCGTTTGACCCTGTCGCCGTGTCTGTGAGTGCCCGAGACGGTCCGCAGACCCTCAGATTCCTGAAACGGGCCTGGTGTGTTATGACAGAGAGCGAGCGGTTCCATCCCTGAGATGGCTCATGAAGTGGAAGCAAGCTACGGAAAGGAGCTCTGCCTCGCTAACCTGGAATACAGGGACGCTTTTATTTCCATCTTCTGGGACAACCTGGGTGGCTCAGTTGTCTGCCTTCGGCTCAGGTCATGATTCTGGAGTCCAGGGATCAAGTCTCTCATCAGGCTCCCTGCTCGGCGGGAAGTCTTCTTCTCCCTCTGACCTCTCCCGTCTCACATACTCTCTCTCTTTCAATCTCTCTCTCCCAAAGAAATAAAATCTTTATTTCCATCTTCCCCTGCACACCCATGATCAAGTGGATTGAATCCTGAGAAATTCACAGTAATGTGTTTTAATTTCCATTCTCTCCCAACTTCAACAGTAACCAGTACAGGACTATTTAGTCTGAGGAACCATTTGCACGCTCACCGCCTCCAGACACACATACTCCCATTTATGGCCCATTTTGACCTGCCCCCCCCCAAAAAAACAACTCATCCAGATTACAGGTGAAATTGATTGTGCACCCAATAAACACCAATTAGGGATTCGTTTTTATAGTTACACTGGAATTACTGCAAGAAACTAAACATCGATTTTTCAAAAATGAGGATGATTGACACTTCTACTATGTACCCCCATGGTTTTTTTTTTTTAATTAAGCTTTTTATTTTGAGCTCACTGTAGATTCACATACGGTTCGTTGTAAGAGATGAGTGCCTCTACCTAGTTTCTCCCAATGGTAACATCTTGCAAAACTAGAGTGCGGGAGACAGTGAAACCCTCACACATAGCTAGTGAAAATGTAAAAAGGTGCAGCCCCTGTGGAAAACAGTTTGGCAGTTTCTCAAAATGTTAAATATAGAGTTACCATATGACCCAGAAATTCCATTGCTGGGTCTATACCCAAGAGGAATGAAAACATATGTCCGCACAGATCCTTGTCCTTGAATGTTTATAGAGCAATATTCACAATAGACCAGAAGGGAAGAACAGCTATATATCCATCATCCGAGGAATGGAAAAGCAACATGTGGTGTACGCATACAATGGCATATTATTCAGCAAAAAAAAAAAAGAAAAAGAAAAGAAAAGGAAATGCTGATCCATGTTACAACGGGGATGAACCTTGAAAACAGTACGCTGAGTGAAAGGAGCTAGAGCTAAAAGACCGCATATTATGAGAGTCCATTTCTATGAAATGTCCAGAACAGGCACATCTACAGAGAGAGCAAATACGTTAGTGGTTGCCTAGGGCTGGGAATAGGGGTTAAGGGAGTGACAGGAAGTGACTACTAGTGGGTACAGAGTTCCTCTTTGGCATGATGACTTCCCATCCCCACAGTGATGCAGAAAGGATCCTGTTTCTTGTCATCCTCGCCAGCATTTGGTGGGGTCACAGTTTTTGTTTTGGCCATTCTAATAGGTGTGTGGCCACAGTATACTGTGGTTTTAATCTGTAACTTCCCTAATGGCTGGTGCTGTTGAACATCTTTTCATGCGCTTACTGCCACTCCTCTTTCTCACTGAGCTGTCTCTTCATATCTTTTGCCCTATTCTGAACTCTTTTATTTTTCTGTTATTGAGTTTTGAAAGCTCTTTACGTGCATTGATGCTAGTCATTTGTCAGCTGTGTGGTTTCACGAGTATTTTCTCCCACTCTGTCTCTTGTCTTTTCATCCTTTCTCCAGGGTCTGCCACAGAGCAGACATTTCTAATTTTAATGAGGTTCAGTTTGTTCATTTTACCTTTTATGGATCATACTCTTGATATCAAGTTGTACCCTTTGCCTAGGAGATCCCAAAGATGTTTTTTTTTCTGCAAGTTGTTTAGTTTTATATTTTATTTTCAAGTCCATGACCCAGTTTGAGCTCATTTTTGTATAAGATGTGAGGCTTATGTGGAGATTTATTTTTTTGCCTACCAACCTCTGTGTTTGCACCTTCCTCAGACATCAGTCTGACATATTTTTGTGGGTCTATTTCTAGGTTCCCTGTTTGTTTCTATTGACTTTTGGGTCTATGCCTCTACCAGTACCACAAAGTCTTGATTACTTCCCCTTCATTTTTCCTTTTCAAGATTGCTTTAGCTGTTCTCCAGCCTATGCCTTTCTGTATAAATTTCAGAATTTGCTCATCTTCTCTACAGAAAATCTTGTTAGGATTTTGGTAGGAATTGCATTAAATGTAGAGATCAGTCTGGGGGAGAACTGACATCTTTACTAATCTGGGTCTTCCAAAACATAAAAATGGGGTGTCTCTCCATTTATTTCGGTCTTCTTTCATTTCATCCACATATTGTAATTTTCCACATATAGATCTTGTACATGGTTTAAGTGTGTACCTGCACATTCAATTTCCTTTGCAGTGATTATAAATTATGCATCGTTTTGAATATCACTTTCCACAGGTTCATTGCTAATATATGGAAACGCAACGAATTTTTGTGTATTGATCTTGTAGCCTATGACTTTGCTGAACTCACTCGTTCTAGTTGGGGTTTTTTTTGGTTCTGCTTTGTTTTTCAGTAGATTTCCTCGGAACTTTCAATGAAGACAACCATTTCATCTGCACATAGAGATGGTTTTATTTCTTCCTTTGCAACGTGTATGCCTTTTCTTTCTCTTTCTTGCCTTAATGCAGTGGCTGGAACTTCCGTACTATGTTGAATAAGAGTGTGCAAAGAGGCCTAGAGCCTTGTTCCTGAATTTAGAGCGAAAGCACTCAAGCTCTTGCTGTTAAGGAAGACACAGCTCTAGGTTTCTGTTTTGTTTTTGTTTTTGTTTTTCCTTACCTCCCCCCACCCCTTTTTAAGCAGAAGCTTAAGACAGGGATTGGCCCAACTGAGATGACAGAGCAAAAAGGAAATGCAAAGGAGACTTCAGTACTTCCTCTTCCAGGCCAGGCTTGCAAGAGCGATAAAACTAGCTTCCTTTCAAGGGGTGGGTGTGTGTGTGGGGGGGGGTGCTTTACAGCCCTAATCAGCACTAGAGAGCTGATCGCCGTTGGGGCCACTGCAGTCCGCAATGAGCAAAGGGCGCCCTGGATGGGGCAGAAATTGGCTGTCACGCAGGAGGGCCTCAGGGAGCCGGGCGCCCGTCTCCCCTCCCGCTGCCCTGCTCTCCGGGCGGCCCTGGCAGCCTCCCTGACCGCCAACCTGAGCTGCCGATAGGAGAGTCTCAGATACCCAAGATCCAGGGTGACACGAGTGGCCAGGCCAGACCGAGATTTGTGTGAGCTCCGGGCCGGGGCTCCCCCGAAGTAGAGCCGGCTGTGAAGAAAGCGAGCACACGAAGGCTGGGTCACACGGAGAGCTGCCAAGTGCATCCACGATACATTTTCCTTTTTTATATAGGGGACGAGGATGGGCAGTTGGATCTAAAATCCAAAAAAGGAAAGCAGTGCCCCCACCCCCACCCCCACCCCAACCCAGCCCGGCCCGGCGTGCGGGGCCCTCTCCCCCTCCGCGGCCCCCGGCCCCTCGCGCTGCCGCGTCGCCCCGCCCACCCGGCGGCGCGCCCCTCTCGCCCCACCCACGGCCGGCCGAGACCACACCTGCGCAGGTGAAGCCCGCGGGGACGCGCTGGCCGGGGGCGGCGGGCACGGTGCGCGGCCGCGTGCGGCGGGGGCGGGAGGGCCGGGCAGGATGGGAAAGCCGGCCTCGGCTAATGGCCGCCCGGCCGCCGCGGCGGGAAGCAGGGCCGCGGCCGGAGGGGGGCGCCCCGGCCGCCGTCGCGCGAACCGGCCGCGGGCTCCTCGGGGTCTTCTTCCCACGCTTCCTCCCCGCCGGTCCGTACCAAAGCCGCCGGGGGCCGGGGGGCCGGGTCGTTCCACTCGGGAGGGGCGGCAGGTCAGGCCGCGGCGCGCGCCACCTGCGGGCCCCCCCCCC